AATTTTAAGTTCAAGTGTGTGAATACAAACCACCAATTAGCACTAATTCTATTAAATACTCAAATAGAAAAAAAAATTGAATATATAACCCACTGGTTAAACAATTAATAAGAGGAAATCAGTCATAGTGATTAGAGCAGACCAGTCCCTACAAGCAGCACCCGTTCACGAGTATGACGGATGAGCCAGCCATCACTGCGCTCGACCATATTTTAGTGAGCCCAATGACCCGGCCCACCACGCCGCCACAAGTCTGGACATTTTAGTGAGCATGACTACTCAAAACACCAGACTACGTCAAAGCTACTTACAATTCCAATACATGCTCAAAATACAAGGCTCGGCTGAATGTCCATCCCAATGAACTAGCTCAGAGGTTACTAACTGACAACCTCCCAAAACGCATGAAAATAACATAACTACTGCATTTAGACAAGCAAAACTCCAGTTCTTAATTCCTGAATGTATGCCGGAGAGGGTCATTAAATAAGAAGTCTTGCACTCGATGGACTGCAGACTCTGATTGCCATTTGCCAACCAATCCGATTACAGCAGACATACTGATCGCGGATAAACCAGGAACAAAAACAAAAATGTTTTTTTATTAAATTTTTATTCTCGTGTCACAGTTTTCGTTCCCATACTCCTCCGAAACGGCTTGACCGATTCTTATGAAATTTTGTGAGCGTACTGAGTAGGTCTGAGAATCGGCCAACATCTATTTTTCATCGCCCTAAATGTTAGGGTTATTAATTTTTATATTAATGACTATTTATTAAAGTCATCTTCATTCTACATTTTAATGTTAAATATTTATTTATGAATGTTTTTTTTTCTTAAATTTCAGGTCTCATGCACACAGCCTTAAGCAGTCTTGGATTTGGTTTCGATACTGAACGACGTCAAATTATATTAAGGTACATATATGTATTTATTTGTTTATCATTACATAGTATAAAACAAAGTCGCTATCGCTGTCTGTCCGTCTCTGTGTATGCTTAAATCTATAAAACTAAGAATCAGATTACGAAGCGGTTTTTTTTTAATAGATAGAGTAATTCAAGAGGAAGGTTTATATGTATAATACATGTACACCCGTACGAAGCCGGGGCGAGTAGCTAGTTATATATATATATATATATATATAATTATTTGTATTCATGAGTATATTTGTTTGTATTGGTCTGGGTGTTCTATGTATATAATGTATGTATTCACAAAAAAAAAAGGAATCTAGGTAGTTCTTTCAGTTGTTGAGTACCCATAACACAAGCTCTGCTTACCGTGGGACTAGATGGCGCTGTGTTAATTGTCCAGGGTTATTTATTTATTTATATCAGTTGTCTAGTACTCATAACACAAGCTCTGCTTACCGTGGGACTAGATGGCGCTGTGTTAATTGTCCAGGGTTATTTATTTATTTATATCAGTTGTCTAGTACCCATAACACAAGCTCTGCTTACCGTGGCACTAGATGGCGCTGTGTTAATTGTCCAGGGTTATTTATTTATTTATATCAGTTGTCTAGTACCCATAACACAAGCTCTGCTTACCGTGGGACTAGATGGCGCTGTGTTAATTGTTCTGAAATATTATTATAATAAGAAAAGAAAATGCTGATTCTATTGCCTACTAACTGACCCTAGTAACTTCGTTTACAAACATTTACATGACAAATTTAATATCAGCGCTGCAGATTTATCTGTAGCATTATGCTGAGTTGGCTACCTTTTCACTTTTGCGGCACATAAAGTCACCTACATTTCTTTTATTAATTCGTGTTTTTTCTGTATCTCATGTATGTTATGTGTCTGTAATTGTGAATAAAGAATTTATCTATCTATCTATTTCAACATCTAAGACCAAGGTATAAAAATGCAAAAGCTATGTTTACTAATCTAAATATATATAACTGAAAGGTGACTGACGTAGTGATCTATCAACGCACAGCCCAAACCACTGGACGGATCGGGCTGAAATTTGGCATGCAGGCAGATGTTATGACGTAGGCATCCGCTAAGAAAGGATTTTGATTAATTCTACCCCCAAGGGGATAAAATAGGGGATGAAACTTTGTATGAAACTTTGTCAATTTTAAACCGATCGGCCTGAAACTTTGCATGCATAAAGCTACTATGACGTAGGCGAGGATTTTGATTAATTCTACCCCCAAGGGGATAAAATAGGGGATGAAAGTTTGTATGAAACTTTGTCAATTTTAAAACGATCGGCCTGAAACTTTGCATGCATAAAGCTACTATGACGTAGGCATCCCCTACGAAAGGATTTTGATTAATTCTACCCCCAAGGGGATAAAATAGGGGATGAAATTTTGTATGAAACTTTGTCAATTTTAAAACGATCGGCCTGAAACTTTGCACGCATAAAGCTACTATGACGTAGGCATTCGCTAAGAAAGGATTTTGATAAATTCCACCCCTAAGGGGATAAAAGAGGGGATGAAATTATGTATAAATCTTCTTAGATTTTGTAGGCCCTCATTTTTTACACACGCTAAACAAAAGCAAAGCCGCAAAAACTACACCTAATTAATAATAATAACTATATACTTACGCGAGCGAAGTCACGGGCAAAAGCTAGTAATATTATAAGATTAAAACACAAGATGGTCGATTGTAGATTAATTATTTTTTTCTTGTCACAGATACAATTTAATACCACGTGTTCCCAGGCTGTACGTCAACCAGAAGTTTGCAGCCAGTTACGAGACCATAGACAATTGGGAGTGTACATAAATAATAATATCATTTTATTGTTTTATTTCAATTTATACCAGAGAAAAACTTTCATCCCCTATTTAATGTTACCTCGTTAAGAGTAATTTTTATACAAACTTAAGTCGCTGTAGCTGTCTGCCCGTCCCTATGTATGCTTAAATCTTTAAAACTATGCAACGGATTTTGAAGCGGTTTTTTTAAATAGATAGAGTGATTCAAGAGGAAGGTTTATATATATAATACATGTACACCCGGACGAAGCCGGGGAGAGTAGCTAGTTTATATTTAATTAACCGTCTAAAAAATAGGTTTCTAGCTATAAAAACGACGATTCTTCCATACAACCTTTCATCTCCTCTTTCAACAACCTTACAATCCTTTTTCGCATTAAAAAAATACCCTTTCTCAGGGTCTAGATTATCTATGTACCAAATTTCATTTAAATCGGTTCAATAGTTTTGGCGTGAAAGCGAGACAGACAGACAGAGTTAGGTACTTTCGCATTTATAATATTAGTAAGGAAGTACGGATTTACAAAAAAAAATATCTAAGTATTTATATCAGTACCCATGTAGATGGCGCTGTGTTAATTGTCCAGGGTTATTTATTTATTAATATCAGTTGTCTAGTACCTATAACACAAGCTCTGCTTACCGTGGGACTAGATGGCGCTGTGTTAATTGTCCAGGATTATTTATTTATATCAGTTGTCTGTACCCATGTTAATTGTGGGACTAGATGGCGCTGTGTTAATTGTCCTGAGATTATTATTATTATTATATATTTTTTTTCATACCGTCTAGTTCGTCACATTACTATGCTGCTTTGCCCGGTTTCATCCGTCTGAAATTCATAGGCAGTATGTTATTCTGATATATGTATAAGGTACTAGCTATTCCTCCCGGCTTCACACGGGTGTACATATATTATATATATAAACCTTCCTCTAAAAATCTATTCAAAAGACCGCATCATTCGTTGCGTAGTTTTAAAGATTTAAGCATACCTAGGGACAGACAGCGACAGCGACTTGTTACTCTTTCATGCAAAAACTACTGAACCGATCAACATGAAATTTTGTATATATATTCTTGGAAGTATTAGATTGAATCATATTTATTAAAAAAAAAAAATTTTTTTTTATAAAAAACAATAAAATAAAATATCAACATTTTGCTACTTCAGCCACTAATGAAGTTATGCGAGCGAAGCCGCGAGTAAAATCTAGTTAGCTAGTTAGGCTAGCTAAAGCTTGTGTTATGGGTACTAGATAACTGATACAGATACATAGATATTTTTTTTTTCGTAAATACATACATAATATACATAGAAAACACCCAGACCGATACAAACAATTATACTCATGAATACAAATGTTTGTGCCGTGCGAGGAATCGAACCCGCGACCATCGGACGTAAAGCGGTGTAGACCGCTAGACCATCGAGGTCGTCAATATTTATTTAATATATATATAATGTAAAAACTTGACGTTCATAAGAGGTTAAAATGTCCTACATGAATAATGATTTTTGATTTTTTGAATAATTTAAATGGCAAAACAGCGTTTGCCAGATCCGCTAATCTTATTAAAAAATGTTCTCGTGTCACAGTTTTCGTTCGCATACTCCTCCGAAACCGATTTGACCGATTCTCATGAAATTTTGTGAGCGTATTGAGTAGGTCTGAGAATCGGCCAACGTCTATTTTTCATCCCCCTAAATGTTAGGGGTAGTCCACCCCTAAATTTTTTTATTTTATTTTTTAGACAAATTTTTCGTTTCTATTTTTTTATGATACAACATACAAAAATACATACAATCCTTAACTTTCACCCTTCTATCATCAACCTCTATTTTTTATGGCGTTATTAATTTATATGGCCAAACAACGTTTGCCGGGACAGCTACTAATTTATAAAACAATTCACCGCATCGAATTCCAGATTATTATTTAATAACGCTAGGTAACTTTGATTTTTTATTATAACATAAAACAAAAGCGTTATCACAGTAATTGTTTTTTTTTAATCGCAACTCGTGCTTGACCGTTTCTTTTATATTTTGACGATTAAACATTCAATTTGAATATATACTTTATATACATGGGAATAGACTTAAAATTCGTTTGTGCATATTTACAATATTTCGAGGTATATTATAAGGAATTGTGTAGATTTTTCCTCATTGCTGAAGTCATGTGGGTGACCATATTTCAAGTAAAATATTTACTTGGAAATGTATAATATTAATGTTTTTACATTAATATTGTTATTAATACGTAAGTTGATCAGTTTATAATAAATTTTAGACTTATTATAGTAGAATTTATATTGCTTATAATAGAATTTCCCAATTGTTCAAAATCTACCCTGTACCATCGTAAGCACAGATTATTATATTAGAGTCCGTTAGTTTTCTGTTCCCGCGTCTTTCCTTCCCCTCCCTTAACTAGTACTGAACCGACTGTACGGCGGCCATGACGCGCGCGCATTGTGTTGTGAATTAAAATAAATTAGAACTGTGTTAAACCTACTGTGAAACTGGAAAGCTAGTGAAGATACCTTCGAGACCCTGAAGCCCAAGAAATCCGCAGAACCATAAAGGTATACCATAAATGACTGACGCTTCCTTATTTTTCCCTATATACATATATACAGAGAGTAAATTCCCTAACATTTTGGTAGCAGAGTTTCCCAAACACCAATCTTTTTTGTGTCGTAGACCCCTCGCCATATTTTTCGGTTTTGGGTAGACCCCCCATTCTTATCTGGTATTGATTTTTTGTAAATTTCTATTTGTAGTAAAGTTTAGTGTTAAAAACAACAAGATGAACACTGTCGTAGGCTCTTGCAGTTTGTTATAGACCCCTGGGGGTCGATATAGACCACTTTGGGAATCACTGGGCATTGGGCTTATAATTTAGTATATTCATATTTGTAGTTAATATTTGAATTATTTCTATAATAAAAATAAATAGAATAGAATAGAAAATCATTTATTCAAATAAACTTACATTGAAGTACTTTTGAATAGTCACATTTTGTTTTCAATCTACCGCTCTTCGGAAAGCTGTCTCATCACAAGAAGAACGAGCAAGAATCTTGTGTGTTGCTCTTTTAAATAATTTTATTATTACTTACAATTTAAGTTTAAGTGTGAATACAAACTACCGATTAGCACTAATTCAATTAAATACTAAAATAGAAATAATATTGAATATATAACCAACTGGTTAAACAATTAATAAGAGGAAATCAGTCATAGTGATTAGAGCAGACCAGTCCCTACAAGCAGCACCCGTTCACGAGTATGACGGATGAGCCAGCCATCACTGCGCTCGACCATATTTTTTAACATATTTATAAAATTCTCGTGTCACAGTGTTTGTAAAATTCCTCCAAAACGGCTTGACCGATTCTTATGAAAGTTTGCGTATATTCAGTAGATTAGGATGTAAACTTTTTTCGTATCTCCTATTTTTTTATTTATTTTTTTATTGGGTTGTGTCGACTATTGTCAGATATTTGTAGCGCCTGTCGCACTGCGATCTACACAGATCTATTGTGCTCGCCCTTTTTCAGAGTTCGCTACCTAGACCCGTCAGGGACAAGAATTGAAGGATATTCTTAGGAGCGATGGTTTTTATCTCCTCAGGATAGAGTGTAAACTTCCCAAAGGAGATATTACGTTTATGCATGAGTGGGCTACAATCACATAGGATGTGAAGCGGCGTTTCCTCTTCAGTTTGGCAGAATCTGCAGATTCTTGTCGTAGTCTAGGCCTAGTTTAGCCATATGCTTGTTTAATTTGCAGTGTCCTGTGAGGGCCCTAGTCATCATGCATATGTTGTTTTTACTCAATAGCAGTAGTCTATTGGAGTATTTGTTCGAGTAGCCATATATCGTCGTATCTTCTAAGTGAGAAGAGTCTGTAATAACTTTTTCTTTATTTTCTAAATATATTTTTCTAACTTATTAAGTTTTTTTCCAATACCAATAGCGTATAAGGGTGTTGATTAAAGTATCACGAAATTAGGGCTTTGAATGTACTTGACATATCCTAAGTGTCTGTACTAGACCTACATGAATAAAGATATTTTGATTTAAAATTCAGATTAGTTTTTTGTCATCGAGAATCGAATTCCAGACCAGTAATTAATATATCTATATTTCCAGTTCACCTTATAACAGCCAGACCTTACAATGCATTCTGTTCTCTCCCCTGCCCCATAACTGAGACCTGTCAGAATCCATGGGGAGGATACGGTCAGGGGAGGGCGGACGGCCAGGCCGGCTGTTCACCGATCAACCTGAACATCTTCACATGTGCTGGTGGTGAGTTTAAATCTACATATTTTAATTTATAATAATAATCCCAGGTCAATTCACACAGCGCCATCTAGACCCAAGTTAAGATAGCTAAAGCTTGTGTTATTGGTACTAGATAACTGATACAAATACATAGATTTTTTTTCGTAAGTACATACGTATTATACATAAAAACACGCAGACAGATACAAACAATTCATGAATACAAATGTTTGTGCCGTGCGAGGAATCGAACCCGCGACCGTCGGAAGAGAGGCGGTACGCTAAACAGCTAGACCACAGAAAAATATCAATCAATTGAATAAAACATATATTACCAATATTATAATTTAATGTCAATTAATATAAAAAGAAAATCTAAATATATATAACTCAAAGGTGACTGACATAGTGATCTATCAACGCACAGCCCAAATTACTGGTCAGATCGGGCTGAAATTTGGCATGCAGGTAGATGTTATGACGTAGGCATCCCCTAAGAAAGGATTTTGATTAATTCTACCCCCAAGGGGATAAAATAGGGGATGAAAGTTTGTATGAAACTTTGTCAATTTTAAACCGATCGGGCTGAGACTTTGCATACATAAAGCTACAATGACGTAAGCATCCCTTAAGAAAGGATTTTGATAAATTCCACCCCTAAGGGGATAAAATAGGTGATGAAAGTTTGTATGAAAGTACTGGAAAGCCGCAAAAACTATACCTAATAATAATACTTCTTAACGCGAGCGAAGCCGCGAGAAAAAGCTAGTAATATTATAAACGCGAAAGTTTGTTAGTATGGATGGATGTTAGTTAATCTTTCACGCAAAAACTACTGAACGGACCTTGATGAAACTTTACAGTAATATAGCTTATACATCAGAATAACGCATAGATTATAATTAAAAAAAAATGTAAATTGGGCGAAATATAATGACAAATGTCAAGTAAGTGTGATACAGACGAAGTGCCGCAGATCAGATCTTCGTTTAACATATCGTTTGGTCAAACCAATGCAGGAATATAATTTTATTTAAAGAAACGAGTAGTAGTCAAAGAATTAACAAAACCTTCAACGACTGGAAGAAATGAATGAATCAAGTGAAAGAGCGAGAGCATGATTCTGTCATCGAACCGACAATGACATGAAATTTCCCGATCATTTCATATCATACAATTTTCACTCGTCACAAATATTTCAATATTGATTTGAGGTTGTCATCATTTTATTTTCGCATATTCGTCCGATTATGTTATCATTAAAATGATTATGCGTTCTATAAGTCCTTCTGCGGCTTTAAGTGCTATTTCTACTCGCCCCCTATAGTTCGGTGAAGCTTTCAAGGCTAGCTGCGCCCAAAAACATTAGAATTGTTCGAAATAATAAAAAAAACTTTTTATAATCGTTATCGTTATCGTTGAAATTCATGTAACTCGAGTTAACTCGAGTTACATGAATTTCAACTCGAGTTAACTCGAGTCATGTTTATTACGAGTTAGCACATCTCTACTACAGACAGTCTTCTTTATAGAGGCTTTGAAACCGAAGCAACCGCTCATGTATAATCCTAGAATACTTTTTGTGTTGTTTGAGTTATTGTCAGATGTTTGTAGCACATGTAGCACTGCGACCTACATAGATCTATTGTGCTCGCCCTTTTTCAAAGTTCGCTACCTAGGCCCGTCAGGGACAAGAATTGAAGGATATTCTTAGGAGCGATGGTTTTTATCTCCTCGGGAAAGAGTGTAGACCTTCCAAAGGAGATATTTCGTTTATACATGAGTGGTCTACAACCACATAGGATGTGTAGTGGCGTTTCCTCTTCAGTTTGGCAGAATCTGCTGATTTTTGTCGTGAATAGCCATATGCTATAGTTTTGCCATATGCTTGTTTAATTTGCAGTGTCCTGTGAGGGCTCTAGTTATCATGCATATGTTGTTTTTACTCAATAGCAGTAGTCTAATATTTGTTGGATAGCCCGATATTAGGGCTTTTGAATGTACCAATCCTGGCATTTCCTTCCTTGCCATAGAATGCTTGCAGTGGTGTATGTCCAAATCAAAGATTAACAAAACGTCTACTAAATTTAAATAGACAAAACCGTATAATAATGATAGGGATCAAAACGGTAATGATTATATTTTTATTACAGAAGACTCGAAGCCTCCGGACGCACCGCCCCCTCCTGCACCACCTCCACCTCCATCGGCACCACCACCACCTCCACCCCCGCCCCCGCCACCTCCACCTCCGCCTAAACCCCCCGAACCACCACCACCACCTCCACCCCCGCCCCCGCCACCTCCACCCCCTCCTCCGCCATCAAGAAGATTCGGAGAAGATGGCAGAAGGAACAATCTGTTCACATCTCTATTCAGCGTTCCTGGGGCAATAGCGGATTCATTATTAAGCGGAGAAATCACCATCTAAATCACTTTCAAATTCTTCTGTTTCAATTACAAAAATCATTGCGGCCATTTTGAAAGTATGTTTAAAAGTGTTTAGTAATTGGAATATATAGAAAATATCATTAAAGTTTATATCTTTTATTTTATTTTACTGTTTCTTTTATATCTTTCTTTCTTTCTTTCATGTTTCTTTGTTTGAGTTCCCTTCAATATGGTCGAGCGCAGTGATGGCTGGCTCATCCGTCATACTCGTGAACGAGTGCAGCTTGTAGGGACTGGCTGTAATCACTCCGACTGATCACTCTTACATAGTTCTCATCCAGTTGGTTGTATATTTAATATTTTTTCTATTTGAGTATTTAATTGAATTAGTGCTAGTTGGTAGTTTGTATTCACACACTTCAACTTAGAAATGTAACAACAAAATTACTTAAAAGAGCAACACGCAAGTTTCTTGCTCATTCATCTTGTGATGAGACAGCTTTCCGAATGAGCGGTAAATTAAAAAAATGTGAGTAAAAAAGTGCTTTACACTTTTGAATAGTCAATATATAAGTTTATATAAGTTTATTTGAATAAATGATTTTCTATTCTATTCTATCCTATATTCTGAATATTTATATTTTGAATATTTCCTTAGTATGAGCTCGTTGTATCACCGGCTTGTTTACTAAAGAAGTATTCAGAACAAATGGTCCTTCGAGCCGGATTTGAACCAGCGACCTATGGATTGTTTTCAATAATATTATTGTTTTCAAGACATTTCTAATGACACTTTTAGGAATTAAAAAGATTATATTAAATTTCTAGAGGTTTAGGGTAATATTGTTGTTTTTAAGACTTTTCCTAACTAGACACTTAGATTAAAGAATTTAGCATCTTTAATTCCTAGAGGTACACTATCTACAAAGCAGTTAGTAATTTAGCTAACTTAAACCAACGGAAATACTGCCAATAGAATTTAAAAAAAGAACACTTTCAAACACCATAAACAAACCATTACACGTCATTTTTTATCTAACTTAAATGTTTACAATCTTTAAAACTAGGGCAGTACACTATCTACAATAGCAGTTTAATTTAGCTAAAAAAAATACACAATAGAATAAAAAAAAAGAACACTTTCAAACACCATAAACAAACCATTACACTTTTTTTTTCTAACTAGACACTTAGAAGGTGTTTACAATCTTTAATTCCTAGAGGTCTAGAGCAGTACACCATCTACAAAGCAGTTAGTAATTTATCTAACTTAAATCAACGGAAAAACTGCCAATAGAATTTAAAAAAAGAACACTTTCAAACACTTTCAAACACCATAAACAAACCATTACACTTTTCCTACGCTACCATTTAAAAAGGACACTTTCAGACACTTGTAAAGGCGCGGGAAAGTTTTCGAAAATCGATTGGTGCAGAAAACCGGTTCTGACAATAAAATCGTTCGCACTTCTCTATCATTTGAATTGCTAAACTTCAGAACGGTACGGACGGGCTCGCGTCACTTCGCACTAAATATTTATTTTCTTAAACGGCGAGAGTCTAGCATTGCATATATTGAAGGTTTATTTCTCATATGAACTAGAACAAAAGAAGTAACAGTACAGATATTACGTCGCTGTACATTTTATACCGCATATATTTAATTACTAGCTGTTCCCGCGACTTCGTCCGCGTGGTATTTAACTTTATTTTTCCGTCATTTTCTGGCTACCGCCTAGACGTGCCAAATAGCTCTTTAAACGGAATCGATCCGAGCAAAACTGTAAAAGTTAGTCGCCATCTTTGTCCGCCATCTTGGATTTTCCCAACTTTCGGAATTTTCTCGTGGTCACCCTAACCCAAGGAACTTTTCCCCTATACATCGTCCTGACCTCGGACACTCCTTCTGAGATAACAACTATGTCAATCAGTGAGTCAGTCACAGTAATGCAGCTTCACATATTACTAGCTTTTGCCCGCGGCTTCGCTCGCGTTAATTTATCCACTTAGGGGTGGAATTTATCAAAATCCTTTCTTAGGGAATGCCTACATCATAGTAGCTTTATGCATTCAAATTCTCAGCCCGACCGGTTTAAAATTGCCAAGTTTCATAAAAACTTTCATCCCCTATTTTAACCCCTTGGGGGTAGAATTAATCAAAATCCTTTCTTAGCGGATGCCTACGTCATAACATCTACCTGCATGCCAAATTTCAGCCTGATCCGTCCAGTGGTTTGGGCTGTGCGTTGATAGATCACTATGTCAGTCACCTTTGAGATATATATTTAGACTAGTTGTGTCCGCGTGTTCCAGTGACCTCGACCAAGCAAAGACAAAATATTAAATAAACAATCCCAAAAAGGGAAAATAAAATGAATGATTTTCCATACAAACTTCCCCTTTAGGTTAAATTTTTACCCCCTTAAGGGTAACATTTTTACAAACTTTGAATGTGATATTTATTAGTATTTAATCAACAGCCTCAACAACAAGTTTCAAGCTTCTAACTTAAAAAATGACGATTCTTCCATTAAACCCTTAAGGGTTTAAAAGGGGGATGAAAGGAAATTTCGACCCTTTTTTCGCATTAAAAAGTAGCCTACGTCCTTTCTCAGGGTCTAGACTATCTGTGTACCAAATTATAATCAGTACAATAGTTTTGACGTAAAGCGAGACAGACAGACAGACAGAGTTACTTTCGCATTTATAATATTAGTAAGAAAGTAATGCTCAATTTACACTCAGCCCGAGTGGGCAGGGAAGTGTGCACGGTAGTGAGCAGCGCGAGAGTGTAAACACGAGTGGAAACACTTCCCATGCCATTGGCGCTGCCACTCGCGCTGCCCGGCGCTCCCTCGATTGTCGGTTTTTCGTGCGCGAGTCAAAGGACTGGCAGCGCGAGTGGCAGCGTGTTTTTACATTCAGCCCTCTCTCAGTTGTCGCCCGGCAATATTTCCGGCAGCGCGAGTTGCAGGGGAAGCGACTGAATGTAAACTTAGCATAAAGATTGTTAGAATATATTAATCTCTATCTTTAAAGTAACTTACTCTGTACAACTTTTGTGTTCTCTGTTATTTTTTTTTATTATCTATTTTTCTTTCACCTTCCGGTTTTTGTTAAAGGCAATAAAAGATGTCGTCTATTTGTTCAAATAAATTATTAAATAAGTGCATAAGTATCTAATTATTTCACAATTATCAACAAAGATAGATTAGAGGACATAAAAAATAAAAAGTTTCTCAAAACTTCTTCAGCGGCCGATACGCTCTACACCGTAATATTGATACTGTATCTAATATTTTTCATAAACCTACACGTTTCTATTCAATTTTAAACGGATACCAGTATCCACTGGTATTTTCCGGTTAATACTGGATATATCCGGTTCAACGGGCATTTGTTATTCATAAAGCAAGATTGATTTGCCCAAACCTTTTTCGGCGGCCTTTTTTTTACCACATTGTCCTACTTTTAGGGGTTCTATACTAAGGGTTGTATATATACAACCCTATTATATGCTAGGACTATATATGATATTGCTTGTAGAAAAAAATATATATATATACTTTATTGCACTTTTAAATACAAGTTTTGAATATATGTTAGAACTTTTGTTTATAAAGGAGGACTTATTTCTAAAAGAGATATACCATACATACATACAAACTAGATGTGCCCGTATTTTGTATGTATAATATGTATGTATTTATGAAAAAATATGTCTTTGTATCAGTTATCCATAACATAAGCTTTAGCTAGCTTAACTTGGGTCTAGATGGCGCCGTGTGAATTGTCCTGAGATTATTATAATTACTTATAAACAAGTGAAAATTTAATGTTATTAGGACATTAAATTTTCACTTGTTTATAAGTACTATATTAAAGGTTACAATATAACTTGAGGTAGGTACATGTAATCACACCCTGAATTTAACACCTAGTCATTATAACATGACGTGGATGAATTACGAGTGCCTAATTTCGACGGCTCATAACATAATTGGTTGCTCTACCACACGAAATTCAAACATACATATAAATTGAAATATAAATCTTTATTCAAATAAAACAAGTTAAGTGCGTAGCGGTTTCTATGTTGATTGTCGCATGCCTAATCCTTGTTGTTAATTAAATATAATTAAATCAATATTTATTTAAAAGAGCAACACTCAAGTATCTTGTTTATTCTTCTTGTGATGAATCTGCATTCCGAATAAGCGGTAGAATAAAAAAATTGACTATTCAAAAGTGCTTATATTAAGTTTATTTGAATAAAGATTATTTCTATTTCTAGAATAGATATATATATATATATACATACATATAATATTATATTATATTGTCATATTCCGATTAATAATCGTCGCCAATAAATTCATTTTTTAATGTAGATTAAATAGAAAATGGCCGGGGTAGTTAATTTATTAAAGAATTTTAGGTTATTTTTCTTTTTGACCATATAATAAATTATATATATATATCTACTATAGACAAAGACACCATTGTAAATAATTGCACGGCCACGCGTTGCTGATCATATATGGCGGTAGGGAAAAAATAAAATTATAAGGTTCATAAGCGGCTAAAATGTCCTACATGAATAAATGAATAAAATAATATTGCGACTATAAATTGAGATGTAAGCTATCCTATCTTTCAAGTTGGATCAAATTGCACACAATGTGCAAATCAAATTTGTTATCGGTTCAGTAGTTTAGGAATCCTTCGCGGACAAACAACGTGACACGTAATTTTTATATATAAAGATAAAAGAAATGGAGATTTGAGTGAAGTTTTATGTCATCCTGAACTATTGGGGCTGTTCAAATAATGTATGCGTATATACTGACCTTTGGGGTTATCTATACATATAAATAAAATTGCAGTGTCTGTTTGTAAAATTGAAATAACCGTTTTTTACTACACACATATGAATATAAATACGGTACATACACCGATATAACATTTTTTACAATTTTTGTCTGTCTGTCTGTCTGTTTCGGCTAATCTCTGAAATGGCTGGACCGATTTTGATGAGAT